TTAGGGTTCACTATATATAGTATCATGTCCTCTGCGATAAAGACAATTTTATTTATTGATTTCCAATTTGGATGCTTTTTACCTTTTCTTCTTATCTGATCTCTGTGGCTAGCACTTCCAGTACTATGTTGAATAAGAGTGATTTTAACAAGATTAATTCTTCCTATCCATGAACACTGTATATGTTTCCATTTATTTGTGTTTTCTTCAGTGTCTTATAATTTTGAATATGATTTTGGCTGTGAGTTTGTCATCTATGGCCATTATTATGTTGAGATATGTTTCCTCTAATCCCATTTTGCTGAGAGTTATCATAAATGGGTGCTGGATTTTGTCAAATGCTTTTCTACATCTATTGATATGATCATATAATTTTTCTCTTGCAGTTTATGTGGTGTTTCACAATAAATGATTTGTGGATATTGAACTATTCTTGCATCACAGGAATGAATCCCACTTGATCATGGTATATGATCTTTTTAATGTTTTGCCAAATTCAGCTTGGTAATATTTTGTTTAGGATTTTTGCATCTATGTTCAAAAAATATATTGGCCTATAGTTTTCTTTCATGATAGTGTCTTTTCTGGTTTTGGAATTAGGACAATGCTGGTCTCCTAAAATGAGTTTGAGAGTCTTCTCTCCTCTTGAATTTTTTGAAATAGTTTGAGAAGAATAGGTGTTAGTCTTTGAATGCTTGATAAAATTCACCTGTGAAGTCACATTGACCTTTTTTTTTTTTTTAAGTTCTTTCAATTACTGCTTCAATTTTGTTGCTTGTAATAGGCATGTTCAGATTTTCTCTCTCTCCTTGATTCATGTCTTGGGAGATTATATGTGTGTAGGAATTTATTCATGTCTCTAGATTGTCCAATTTGTTGGCATATTGCTCATAATATTTTCTTAAGATTCTTTGTATTTCTGTAGTGACAGTTATTACTATTCTTGCATTTCTAGTTTATTTACTTGGCCCTCCCCCCTTCTGATGCTTAGAGATTTATCAACCTTATTTATCTTTTCAAAGAACCAGCTATTGGTTTCATTGATGGTTTGTTTATTTTTTCTCTCCATTTCATTTGTTTCTACTCTAATATTTATTTATTTACTTATTCATTTGTTTATTTAAAATACATTTTTATTGATTTCAAAGAGAAAGGGAAAGGAGATAAAGATATTATGAACCAGGAGGTCAGGGTTTGATTCCCAGTCAGGGCACATGCCCAGGGTATTCAGGAGGCAGCAGATTGATGATTCTCTCTTATTGATGTTATTATCGGTTCCTCTCTGTAATCAATAAAAATATATATTTTAAATGATGCCCGGCTCCCCTCCTCAAAAGGTTCAGATTTCATTGGTCTAAGACCCAGGCATATTTTTTTAAAAGCTTTCCTGGTGATTGCTTATGAATACAAAGCATGGCTGAAAAGCATTGGACAGCAAGTGCCAACTGATGGCGACTTCCTGCTCTCAGAGGGCACCAGCTCACCGACTCATCAAGCCCTCCTGAGGCGGGCGGGCAGCCAGGAGAATCCCAGGTCCCCGGGCCCTGGGCGCAGCAGCACCATGCCCCAGCACCAGGTCTATTTCAGTGGCACTGCTACTAATTACTGTTTTGCTACTTTATCAATACAGAAATGCTTCCACAGCCACACTGCCTCACACACAGCTAGAACTTCAGTTAAAAATGATTCAATGGGCTGAAACCGGTTTGGCTCAATGGATAGAGCGTCGGCTTGGGGACTGAAGGGACCAGGGTTTGATTCCGGTCAAGGGCATGATCCTTGGTTGCGGGCATATCCCCAGTGGGGGGTGTGCAAGAGACAGCTGATCGATAACTCTCTCATCAATGTTTCTGGCTCTCTATCTCTCTCTCTTCCTCTCTGTACAAAAACAATAAAATATATTTTTTTAAAAATGATTCGATGGCCCTAGAACAATGGTCGGCAAGCTGTGGCTCTTTGACCCTTGAGTTTTTAGCAAAGGCCAGCTTAGGAGTACCCTAATTAAGCTAATAACAATGTACCTACCCATATAGTTTAAGTTTTAAAAATTTGGCTCTCAAAAGAAATGTCAATCATTGTCCTGTTGGGATTTTGCTCTGTTGACTAATGAGTTTGCTGACCACGGCCCTAGACATGGGCCTGTGGACCACAGGTCCCAGGTTTGATTTCCCTCAAGGACTCTTCCCCAGCGTGGGCCCTGGCTGGGGTGTGTGCAGGAGGCAACCAATCGATGTGTTTCTCTCAAATCGCTATTTCTGTCTTTCCTTCTCTCTTCCACTTTCTCTAAGAAATCAATGGAAAAATATCCTGGGGTGAGGATTAACACAAAACACACAAAAATGATTTAATAATTGTGAGAGTAGTGTTTCATTGTAAGGAATTTAGAAGATTGTGGAAAATATAAGAAGTGAACCCTAATGTAGTTAGACCTGGTCTCTTTATGAGCTCTCAGCCAAGTAAGTGATAACATGATCAAGTTATTTCCATAGAAGCAGGGTGGCTGGGCGCCTGGAGGGCCCACCCCACAAAGTCCAGTAGTCGGAGCCCTATGATTACCATGTCTGGTACTTTGAGCTGCAAGCCAGGGCTGAAGGCAACATGGGCCAATGGGAGCGTGGGAACCATAGCCCCTGAACTCGAGGGTTCTGATGGCACTTTTGTGCCTCATTGTACTGGCCCACTTGGTTTCTTCTGCAAATTCTCCACTGTGGAAGTTCTCTGGGACATTTCTGCACTACTTTGAAATATGCAGGTAAAAGGGATCAGTGAGAAGGCTTAGCCCTTTGCTTTCATTGAGAGTAACTGGGTGACCCAGAATTTTCTTCTTCAGAAATTCACACATAGTAGTCAGGAGAAGGGGCTGGAACCAGACGGTTCTTGGATCAAATCCAACCAATGCCTCTGTTACAAACCGAATGCAGTGTCCCCCCCGATGCAAGAGTATTTGGAGGTGGGCTCTTTGGCTGTGATTAGGGTTAGATGAGGTCAGAGGGTGAGACCCCATCATGGGATTAGTGTCTTTATAAGAAGAGGACAAGATCAGAACTCCCTCTCTCTACCATGTGAGGACACAGAGAAGGCAGCCATCAACAAGCCAGAAACAGAACCAAATGGGTCGGCATATGATCTTTGATGTTCCTGTCTCCGGAACGGTGAGAAATAAATGTCTGGTGTTGTATTATGGCCTCCAGAGCTGACTAAACAGCCTCTAACCAGTCATTCTCTCCGTCTGTAAATAGAGATGATGATAGTGTCAGCCTTACAGGTTCACTTTGAATTAATGAAAAATTGTGTGTAAGTAAAACACTGAGCATGGTGTTTGGAACTTAGTGAGTGCTCAGAAAATGGGATGATGATGAATAATAAATGATGAAACTGCTCCGTTGGGGTATGGCTACCTTCAGGACAGAAACAAACACATGACCTTCTGCTTGTCTTTTATGTGGATTGGTCCCCATAAGGAAGCTCGGGAGCTAAAAGGACCAACCAAACTGACGCTCTGTCACAATGGAGATATTGCTTCGTTCCAAGTGTTTTCAGCGCCAATGTCTGGACACCATTTTGTTGCCATGACTTGGGGAGGGTGGCTAGGTGGCAGGGGTATTGCTGAGTATCCATAAAGCACAGTGACAAGCTTCCTTGTGTTCTGCCGAGAGCAAGGCCACCCACATCTATGCTGTTCCTCAGCGCCAGGCAGTGGTCAGAGCAGCACACTGGCTGTGGGAACTGGCCCCCGTGTGCCACAGAAGAGCCTCCATGCAGTGTCCCTTCAGCAGGCAGCAGGCAGGCCGGGGGGACTGTCATCCAGTTCCAGCAGCATGGAGAGGGCCGTTTTCAACAGGACACTTTCGGTTTTTTGGTTAATCCTCACCCGAGGGTATTTTTCTATTGAGTTTTAGGGAGAGATGGAAAGACAGAAACATCGATATGAGAGAAACACAGCGACTGGTTGCTTCCTGCACCAGCCACGACCAGGGCCTGGGCTGGGGAGGAGCCTGCAACCAAGGTATGTGCCCCTGACTGGAATCGAACCCTGGACCCTTTGGTCTACAGGACGATGCTCTATCCATTGAGCCAAACTGGCCAGGGCAATAGGAAACTTTTCGACAAGAACAGAGACAGGTAACAAAGTGGAGTTCAAGATGTAGTTAGATGAGAAGGTTCAGTGTTGATCAAGCAGGGGTCCCAGAAACTCTCGTATTAGATACAGAACGGGAGGCTGGCTGACGAGCCCAGAGGCAGGACCAAACCCAGTTAAACAAACATCTTGGTCTTCCACAGAGCACTCAGATCCCAGTCTGAGAAAGTAAACAGGACACACTAAAGCATAAAAAATACACAATTGATCTTATTGGTGTTTCAAATATTTATTTTAGGTTGTAAAGACTTTTATTGTTCTGTTTACACGACCAAGAACAACTAAAAAAAGAAATCCAGGAACATGTAAAAAACACAACAGCGCCTTACAAATATCCTAGAAAGGGAGGTATTCTAATTGATATTTGCTTAGTGTTCTGGAAAATTAAGTTACTTTTTAAATGAACATTCTCCTCACACATACTATAGCAAATGACATGGCTAAGAATCAGAACCTTTGAGATTGAAGGAAACTCTTAAGTCAGGTTTGTTGGGTCATCTGGCTCCTCATCAGACCCGGGAGTAAAATATTAAATATCAAGGGCAATCTCAACAGTTCTCCTTTTCTCCCTTTCTGGTGTTACCGAAACCTCATCCCAATGTGTGTCCTAGTCTCCAGCTAGAGTTCGTAGAATTGACTCTGTCTAAAAATGAAAATCACCGGGCTAATTTTCTTCCTTTGATACCAACAGGTGGAATTTGTTTAAGAGCTGCCTAAGACTGTCAGTGGGAAGATAAAAAGAAATGAGTTGAGGAAGAAAGAATGGGAGAGTATTTAAATCTGTCCCATTAATTATCACAGAATCCATAAAACAAAGACTAAAAACCACAAGATTATTAAGAAGTGATATGTGATAGTATGCTTATAAACTACTGATTTTAAATACCTTGTGGTTATAACATAACAGCTGAATTTTGAAATAAAATAATAAATCCTCTGCATTGGGGTCATTGTTCTTATAACTTGATAATACAAAAAGAATACCATCTATTGACGAGAATTTTTTTATTTTTATTTTCTTAAAAAAATATATTTTATTTTGTACAGAGAGGAAGGGAGAGAGATAGAGAGTTAGAAACAATGATGAGAGAGTGTCATCAATCAGCTGCCTCTTGCACATCCCGTACTGGGGATATGCCAGCAACCAAGGTACATGCCCTTGACCAGAATCGAACCCGGAACCCTTCAGTCCCCAAGCCGATGCTTTATCCATTGAGCCAAACCGGTCTCAGCGACGAGAATTTTTAAAAAATATATATATTTTATTGTATTGATGAGAAATTTTAAAACCTAAAATATAGAAGCAGTTTATGGATCAAATCTCTGACCTGTTAGTTTTCAAATCTTAGTTGAATAATTCTTCTAATATGCTAATATACAAATCAGAACCAATCTTCAAGCACTGATACAAAACTGAATAACTTGTAAGTTTTTAGAAGCACAAAAAAGTCAAATTACCATAATTCTCAAAGTAGAAATATTGACCTGAAAAAGTTTAGGGATTTTTATTAGTCATATTTTTATTCAAATAACTTAAAACAGTTCAAAACTAGTTTTAAGGTTTAACTATGAAAGAAAGATGCCATACACCGTATCATCCACACTAGGGGCCCAGTGCGTGAATTCCTGCACGGCCGGCGGGGCGCACAGGGGCGGGTCCTGGTCCCAGCCACCAGCAGCCTTGCTCTCACCTGCTGTTGGTGCGGAGGATCAGGGCTTCGCCAGGCACCGGCTGTGGGTGCGAGTGGCAGCTCTGGTGCGGCAGCAGGCGGGAGAGGCGGCTGCCAGCCCCGATCGCCCCTCAGGAGCAGGGGGAGTGGAGAAGCCCCGAGGGAGATCAGGGCTGGCAGCTGCCGCTCACACCCACGGACAGCACTGGCAGCAGCTGTGAGTAGTGGCTCCGATGCTGGCAGCAGTGCACGGAGGCTGGTGCGGCAGCAGGTGCAGCACCCGGCGGGACCACGCCGTGTGGGAGCCAAGTATTCCCAGTAACCAACTGACGCTCACCCGATGACAACTGGCACCCCCCACTCACCTGCTCCACCATCCTGCCAGCTGATGTGGCCATGTTCTGTGTGCCCCCCCTGGTGGTCAGTGCACATTATATCAACCAGTTGTTCAGTTGTCCTGCTGTTTGGTCTATTTGCATATTAGGGGTTTTTATATATAGACTAGTGGTCCAATGCATAAATGAAGATTCATGTAAGAATGGGCCTTTGTTCCCCTGGCTGCCAGCACTGCCTTCACTCTGGCAGGAGCTGCCTTTCTGCCTTCCCACACTGCCCAGAGGCCAGGAGCGGACAGGGTGGTGCAGAAAGCCTATGTGTCCCCATGATGACAACACAAGCATCCTGCTGCTCTGGGCCAGTGTATGCAAATTAACCTGTCATCTTTGTTGGGTTAATTTGCATTTTTCTTTTATTAGTGTAGACTAGAGGCCCAGTGCATGAAATTTGTGCATGGGGGTGGGGGTGTATCCCTCAGCCTGGCCTGCACCCTCTCCAATCTGGACCCCCTAGGGGATGTCCAACTGATGGAATCAGGCCTAAACCAGCAGTAGGACTTCTCTCTCACAATCCAGGACTGCTGGCTCCTAACCACCTGCTCTCCTGCCTGATCAGCTTCTAGCCCCTTCTCTCTGCTAGCCTGATCATCCCCTAACCGCTCCCCTGCTGGACCAATGGCCCCCAACTGCCCTCCCCTGCAGATCTGTTCACCCCTCCCCCAACTGCTGGCCTGATTGCGCACAACTGCCCTCCTCTGCTGGCCATCTTGTGATGACATGAGGCATCACGTAAGGGTGAGAGGACCACCTAGGCTCTTATTAGTATAGATAATAAAAGGCTAATATGCAAATTGTCCCCTCGGGAGTTTGATCACTCGCTATGATGGGTGCTGACCAGCAGGGAGCGGCGCAGAACATGGTAGATACTCAGTGGCAGCAGAGGGGCAGGAAGGGAGCGAGGGAAGAAATGGGAAAGCCAGGAACCTGATGTGCCCTGATCATCGGCCATGCCTAAAGATCCTAATTGTGTACAAATTCCGTACACTGGGCCTCTAGTATTTAATAAATGCACTTTATAAAATATTTCACTTGTGTTTCTTCAAAGTATGACAAATTTGGCAAATGCCAATATATAAATAAAACAGTGTAAGGCATTTTAAGATTACTCATGTTTGGGAATTCAAGGAACCATCAGGATTCATACATGAATAAAAGACAAGTTAGATAGCTGGTGACAAAAATTAGAAGTCTGTGAAATTTGTTTCTCTATTGTCAGTGTGTGTGTGTGTGTGTGTGTGTGTGTAACAGTCCAAGTGCTCAGATAATGCTGTTCTTGTAACCTGTAGCCCTATATGCTTTTCTCTTTACACTGAAGTCACACTAAAGTAAAAACATAGTTTAGATATAAAGTTCATCAATTCCTCATTGAAGGTCTGAGTCTCAAAGAATTTTTAGTAGAAACATTTACCTTTTGGTCACAAACATGGCTTGTTTCTGGGGAGCTAGAGTTGAGTGCCCCTGAGGAATGAGACCAAATCGTGCTGTTGGCCCTCTCCTTTTTGAGTGTTTGTTCCCATTTGAAATAACCACAACGTTTTCTGTTTTCCTGGTGTTTCCCAATAGGGCAACAGTAGAAGACTTTCCCATGGTTGGGTCCATTATTGGAAACGACGAGTCTCTTAGACCTCCGGCCACACTTGCATAACGGAGGTGTCACCTTCCCCCTCTTCCAAGGCTCCTGGAGGTTAACCGTGGGAGTGAGGGCAGAGAGGCGCCGGGAGCTCGCAGGGGAGCCGTCACGTGACGTGGGCTTTTCTTCATGAATGGGGAAGGGCTGCTTTGTAGCGAGGGGGAAGCCCGGGGGGCTGGGTGGACTCCTTCTAGGACCACCTGAAAGACATTCCCCCAGAACTGAAGGGTAAGACATACTGGCCTTAACACTGTTCAAACGTTTGCACTCAGGTAATTTAAAGTTAGAAACATCTGACAGTGGATCTTTGGCTTCTTTTACATTATAAATAGTAGTATGTGGACTCTTATACACAACGGACTTGGAGGTCTCAGATTTTTGAGGAGTCTCTTCTGTGCTTTCAAAGTTCTCATAACTTAGCAATTCCGATTCTTTTAGAACCACTAACCTTTCTCCAGACTTTAATGAAATAGCTAAGTTTGAGTCACTAACGAGAGGCATGTAATCTATATTTTGCTCAGGCTGAGATGCTGGCAGTAAAGCTACATCCTCCCAGTCAGTTAACATAGGCAAACAGTCAAGAGCAGAACTCGTCTCCACATCAGAAACATGATTGACAGACGGAATGGTAGTTGAAACAAGCACCAAATTGGAACCCATTGCCGAAGCCCCTGATCTGGAATTAAATCCGTGATCGTCTTTTATTTGCCTCTGCACAGGCGCACCGACGCCAGGGTGCTGCAGCTGCCCCAGAGAAGTAGAGGACTGAGGAGTGGAGAGAGAGAAACAGTTTCTGACGCTGTGAAGACCCACTTTTAAATTGCTCTTTGGTTGTAACTCATCTTGGTTTACTTTCATGGAATTCATACCAACGGACCTCACTTGAACGTTTTCATGATAAAGTATTGTATTTTTAGGCTCCTTATCACATGTGCTGGGACCCTGACTGCTTTTGCTGCAGGCTGATGTTTCTTCAACTTGACTGGTATTCAAATTTCTGCCCAAAATGTTGGGATTCTTCTTAGTGGGAACCTATGATTCCACAAACAAATCCAAGAGCTTTAGCAACTGTGCATTCAGAATTTCTTTAGTACACATGATATGAGAAAAAAAGAAAAATGCCATCATTGACTGACATAAATTATTACACTCATGACGTCTATGTTTCAACGACCCTACAATTACTTCTGAAATTTGCCATGACAGAATAAAGGAGTTGGTGCCACCGACCTTGTTCAAGGACCTGGTAATTTTCATTAAGCAGCCATCCTTGATCATTTTCCAAGCAAGAAGTGCAGTGTTCCGAGAATCATCCAATCCTGAGGAAACAAACATCAAACACTATCGCTAAAAAGAAATATAGCAACACCCATCCCTTAAGTGGAATCGGGACTGTTAGTTTTATGACCTTCGACTGGTTTTGATCAGGATAAGTGGGTCTGCGGAGAGCTGCAGTCGCCTTGCCAAAGGAAGACAGGGTCTCCCACATTTACCAGGAAGAGGGGACATTTGTCAGACAGCTCACAACAATGTGACGGAGACTCTGAGGGGCCATGGTTTGTGAGTTTTGCTTAGTTTCCCACTAGTCCATTGTATTATTTGGGCATTTGTTTAATTCCACTTGTTGGCTAATTCTTTTCATTCTTTTTTAGCAACTGGACAGCCATTAGATGGCAATCTTTATCTTACACACAAATGTCATTTGTCTTAGAAATAATTTAAATTGTATAGATTAGAAGGATATTCCTTATTAGTGACATCACAAAAAAGAGATTCACATAAAGGACTTTATTAAAAAAATTACTTACATAATAAAATGATTTTCAGTTTATACTAACCAGAATGTTCCCGTCCCAAGAATTTGATCCCCACCTCCTGCAAGGCGCCCCTCAGTCCTTTCGGTTTTCTCCTATAGAAAACCTAACAAATAAATGGAGACATGTGTAAGAAAATGATGATTATTTGGAAGACGGTAGTTCTAGATTTGAACTGCTTATTTTTGTTACATTGTCTTTACAGGCTATAAGAAATGTATTTAAGTGAATGTTTCAAAAGAAAATATTTTATTTGTAGAAATCCATACCTATGTGTGGAATAAAGTTTAATCATTTTTCAAAAGAAGGAAAATGAAACTTTGACCCTTACCTTGTAAGTTACTCTGAGATCAATCCAAGAATTTAGGAACACAGGCTTAAACAGCTGTTTTCTTTTACACTCATACTCCAGGCAAACACCCAAGTCCCAGTCTGCATTAAGTATATTAAAAAAGAACAAAGCAATGATGCCCGCACTTTTTATGCTATCATCATTTATAAAGTGCTGAAAAATGATATAAAATAGTAAGATTTAGAATCACATTTTATATATATAAAAGCCTAGTGACCAGAAAGGCGGAACAATCAGAACAACTGGAAGGACTGGTAGCTATGACGCTCACTGCAGCAACCAACCAGCCCAACCCTCAATCAGCCTCCCCCACCGCAATCGAGGGCATGGTGGGCCAGCCAACCTCCCACAGCCTCTCTCCCCTGCTGGTCTGACCTGATGGGCCCCGCCCCATTGGGGTTGGTGGCCAGACCCCACCCGTGCAACAAATTTGTGCACCAGGCCTCTAGTATGTGTGTGTATGTGTGTGTGTGTGTGTGTGTGTGTGTGTGAGTGTGTGTATGTATATATATATATATATATATATATATATATATATATATGAGAATAGTAATATAGTTAGTATATAATAGTAAGATTTAATATATAATAGTGATATAGTTGGTATATAATAGTAAGATTTAATTGCCTTGTTAATATCTAACAATTATTCACTTTACATAACTGTTAAGAAATTAAAATTGGTAACTATGCTTCAAAGTGATTTATTACATATCCAATAAGATATACTGATTATTTCAGAAAGAATAAGATGTGAAATTATAAGGCCTATATGGAGGTTATCTGCTTTTAAGATTCTAAGAGAATATTCAGGTAATTGAGAAACTAAACATAGCAACCAGAAACCAAGTACACCTATTACTGCTAAGCAGCAATGACACAGTGCTGCTCTCATTCTATTAATGGCAATGCTGTATCACAGGCATACAAAAGATCTACTTTATTTATTTATTTATTTTTAAATATATTTTATTGATTTTTCACAGAGAGGAAGAGAGAGGGATAGAGAGTTAGAAACATCGATGAGAGAGAATCATCGATCAGCTGCCTCTTGCACACCCCCTACTGGGGATGTTCCCGCAACCAAGGTACATGCCCTTGACCGGAATTGAACCCGGGACCTTTCAGTCCCCAGGCCGACGCTCTATCCACTGAGCCAAACCATTCCCGGCCAAAAGATCTACTTTAAATGGCCCGTTTTTTCGTTAATGTCAACATTAGTGTGAAATAAAAGGGTCCCGGGTTCGATTCCGGCCAAGAGTATATGCCTGGGTTGTGGGCTTGATCCCCAGCAGGGGGCGTGCAGGAGGCAGCTGATCAATCATTCTCTTTCATCATTGATATTTCTCTCTCCCTCTCCCTTCCTCTCTAAAATCAATAAAAATATATTTTAAAAAAAAGCAAAAAAAAAAAGAAAAAGCAAAGGATATGAGATGAACAAAGACTCTTTTTATTCAAGATTGTATAAAATAGCATGATAAGAGATTTCATTAAATAATCTTCACCTGGATTCAGAGGAACAATCAAGATTCTTAAAGTTAAGGCTTAAAGTTTTCAGGCATTCAGAATGGTAATTTTAAAAATATGAATAAATTTACTTTTCTATTGGGCACATTCTATTTCTTTCCTTGGCCCAGAGGTTAACAAATATAATTCTTACTAGATACATATTATGTAAGAGTGATGCTACAAACTTTTTTTACCTGACCAAGTAACAAATGCACACAATTTTACTTCTGAGGTAGGTAGATCTGAAACTCCAGTAGCAAAAGTAATTTTCTTCTGTTGCTGAATCTTCTGAATCCACTTACAGAACTGCGATAAGCAAATCTTCAGAGGGACCCCTTCATCAACTTGAGCCTGAACAGTCACAAAACCCGAGTTCACAATCACACTTCCTAATTACTGACCCCATAGCGGGTAGTTAGCACTGTGGGGCATATGACAAAGAATTCACCTAGTGGAAAAGTGTGGTAACACATGGGGAAGAGCTAATTTAATGATTAGAACTCTGTAAAGTAAGAAAATTCGGTTACCAATCTAAATTGCACAGAAAAATAATAATCTAGACAACCAGAAATTCAATGTATTTAATTTCCATAAAATAGATTTGATATTCGTTTTTACCACACTATTCTAATTTTTAAAGATTCTAATGGCCTTCTGGAGGGGACATTATTTTTTTCTAATACTAAATAAACTTAGCTCCAAATGGTATATAGGTTTTATTTTCTTTTTGGAACTGACTTCTGAATTTTAATATTTGCATCATACCTGCTTGTTTATTGTCTGGGGGCTGGGCAGTAAGAGGGGAAGTGAGGAAGGGCATACCTGCTTTATGCCTGTCAGCTCCATGCAAAAGTCAGAAAGAATTGGATGTTCCTGAGGCTGAACGTAAGCATGGAACTCAGATTCAATCTCTCCAGTAGATGTGCTCATCAACACTGCTGGAAATTCAACTACGTGAAAGAATCACCATTTGACACTTAATAAATTACTGTTTCAGTAAAAACATACAAAAATGACCAAAACAATGTGATGCAATGGTTATAAAGTTATGCCAAAGAATGTCAAAACATTAAAGTTGAGTATGTACTTAAAATTCAAATATATTTTCTCCATTAAAAGCCATATGGAAGCTGAAGCCGGTTTGGCTTGGTCTGCAGACTGAAGGGTCCCAGGTTCGATTCCGGTTGGGGGTATATACATTGGTTGCGGGCACATCCCCAGTGGGGGGTGTGCAGGAGGCAGTTGGCCGATGTTTCTATCTCATCAACGTTTCTAACTCTCTATCTCTCTCCCTTCCTCTCTGCTAAAATAAATAAATAAATATATATAAAAGCCATATGGAAGTAAAAATGTACTTATTCCTTTTTGCAAAGATTTTTTTTTCTTCCAGTTTCTATGCAATTTAGATTTTGAATGCAATCCTAAAACGATTATTTTTTTCTAATTTTTAAAATGTCATTGGCTCACAGAATCACACAGATTTCAGACACACAACTCTATCGGACACTGTCTGTATTGCATGTTCACCACCCAGATCACTCTGACCCCCCCCCCCCCAAAAAAAAACATTCTGGATGGTGACACGTCCTGGTAGGGTTTTGCCCCCCTTTTTGGGGGAAGTCAGGTTTACAGTAAATACTAGTTCCCAGCCGTCCTGTTCTTTCCCACAGGCCTGTGTGCTATGCACGCACACACTTTACACTGCCTGCTTGCACAGACGTGCACACTCACTGACCTCCACACGTGTGCACACTCACCGATCTCCACACACGCGCACTCATTGATCTCCACACGTGCACACTCACTGATCTCCACGCATGTACACTCACTGATCTCCATGCATGTACACTCACTGATCTCCACACACGTGCACACTCACCCACACACGCGCACTCACTGATCTCGGGGCTCCGGGAGCGCTCCCCACCCGCCCAGCACGTGGCCTCGAAGTCCAGGACCATCAGGTAGGCGAAGGGCTGCTCTGCGAAGGCAAAGGGGGGTCCCTGTCACCGGGAGCAAAGGAGGGGTCCCCCCCCCCCGTCACCGAAGGCAAAGGGGGGTCCCCGTCACCGGGAGCAAAGGAGGGGTCCCCCACACCGTCACCGAAGGCAAAGGGGTTTCCCCGTCACCGGGGGCAAAGGAGGGGTCCCCGCCGTCACTGAAGGCAAAGGAGGGGTCCCCCCCGTCACCGAAGGCAAAGGGGGGTCCCCCCCATCACCGAAGGCAAAGGGGGGTCCCCGTCACCGGGAGCAAAGGAGGGGTCCCCCCCGCCGTCACCGAAGGCAAAGGGGTTTCCCTGTCACCGGGGGCAAAGGAGGGGTCCCCCCCGTCACCGAAAGCAAAGGAGGGGTCCCCCTCGTCACCGGGGGCAAAGGAGGGGTCCCCCCCGTCACCGAAGGCAAAGGAGGGGTTCCCCCCCTCCCCCGTCACCGAAGGCAAAGGGGGGTCCCCGTCACCGGGGGACCGGCCGCTACTTACCGCGTCTGCCGCCCGCCGCCGTCCCACCCGCAGCGCCCCGGGCCCGGGTCCGGATCAGCCCGAGCCGCCTGGGGGGATGGGCACCGGTGACCCTCCTGCCCGCGGCCCCGGCCCCGGAGCCGCCCGCGCCCCCAGCTCCCCGCCCCGCCCTCCGCGTACCGCGCCAGGCTCCTGGTCGCCATTCCCGCTGCCGCCCTCTGCCGCCGGAAGTCCCCGCGCCCACTTCCGCCCGTCCCCGGCGGCGCCGCCTCCCCGCCCCGGGCCCCGCCCCGGGCCCCGCCCCGGGCCCCGCCCCGGGCCCCGCCCCGGGCCCCGCCCCGGGCCCCGCCCCGGGCCCCGCCCCGGGCCCCGCCCCGGGCCCCGCCCCGGGCCCCGCCCCGGGCCCCGCCCCGGGCCCCGCCCCGGGCCCCGCCCCGGGCCCCGCCCCGGGCCCCGCCCCGGGCCCCGCCCCGGGCCCCGCCCCGGGCCCCGCCCCGGGCCCCGCCCCGGGCCCCCGGCCTGCAAGGCAGGGCTGCGGGAGGGGAGGCCCTGTGGCGGGGCCGGGGGCCTAGCTGCCCCTCGGTGGCGGCCTGGGTGCCGTTACTTTAATCCTCCCGGGGTGCGCTGTTAATGACCTGGGGCGGGGGTCTGTCCGCCTCCCGCGGCCCCGCTGCGCCCGAACCCGCCGCGGAGCGGTCCCCGCGGCCGCCGGGCGCCCGGGAGCAGCACGGGCCTCTCCCGTCTCCTCTCCTCACCGCCGCACGTCGGATGCCCGGGCCCGGGGTCAGTCCTCACCGGCGAGCTGGTCAGCCGGGCCGGACTGCTCCTCTTCTCTGAGTGCGGAAGTGTTCTCCTTAAGCTTGCAGCGGTCTCTTCCTCCTCAGCAGGAGCTCACGTTTGGTTACACTGTCTGGCGATCACCCATCCTCACGCTTTGATGCTGGAAAACCCCAGACTTGGCAGTTAGCCGCTCCTTGTCCTGGACGTGACCGTCACCTGAGCGTTTCTCCGCACAGACCTCCCGGCTCACGGCCCCCGCCCGGCGGGAGCCAGGTTCTCAGCCGCTGCAGGTTTGGCGATGGATGTGCTCATGGCAAACAGGACCTGAAGCTCCCAAAGAGAGCTGGAACTATTCACAACACGTGCACAGTCTACAGCACGTCTGATAACGTCAAATATACAGAAATGTGTAATTCACAGTACCAACTCGATCTTACTTATAAAAGTGTTTGCAATCTAGACATAAAACACTTAAATTAATATTTAAATATGTAATTTCTGTCACATTAAATACGTATCCACATGTAATGAAAAATCGTGAATTCCTCTCAGTAACTCTACTTTCAATTAGATCCCACAGGGCTCATTCTGACTTCCTCCCTTTTCATGTTTGTAATTTCCTTCTCCATTATCTTCAGCACGCCCCACCCCACACCCTCCGCCTCACCTGGCTCAGCCATTCCGCACCTTATGCCAGGCACCCTGCCCGTGAAGGCCTTCACCTCTGTGACAGCCCGCTGCCCTCCCCTCCTCACACGGACACCTGGCCTGCTCAGCTGAATCCTGTGATGCCACTGGGATCCCTCGGCATTGAGGTCTTCCTTCACCCTAAGCACTTTCTGACTTGATGCCAGGTCACCGCGCGTCCCTCCCCACTGCACGGATGCCCTCCTATATTGTTGAGGCTTTGACACCACATTGGTTTCCTGTGTGTATTGCATGCCTACCCACTCCTGGCCGTCTGCCCTGTAGGATATCCTCTTTGCCCTTCTCAGGTTCTTTTTTTTTTTTTTTTTTTTTAATATATTTTATTGATTTTTGTACAGAGTGGAAGGGAGAGAGATAGAGAGTTTGAAACATCAATGAGAGAGAGTCATTGATCAGTTGCCTCTTGCACACCCCCTACTGGGGATATGCCCGCAACCAAGGTACATGCCCTTGACCGGAATCGAACCCGGGGCCCTTCAGTTCCCAAGCCGACGCTCTATCCATTGAGCCAAACCGGTCCCGGCCCTTCTCAGGTTCTGACAGCCTGTGGTTGGCAACCGTATAAATCCATACCTCACTCAGTTCCACCTATCAATCCCACACATTTTTGGTTGATTTATATAAACTAGGGCCCCCAATTCATGCACCTTGAAAGGAACTGTAGGCCGTGAGGCTGTGGTGGGCAAAGGGACAGGTTTCGGCCCATCCCCCACATCCCCGCCTGGCCCTTCCCACTGTGGTGAGGAGTGTTTGGGGCAGCATCAGCAGTGGGTGCCAGCAACAGCTGCTGCCCTGATCACCCCTCAGGACAGGGGGAGGTGGAGAAGTCCTCAGGCAACCAGGACTGGCAGCCCCTACTTGCACCTGCTGATGGCACCAAGCGATCAGGATCTGTGCTGGGCACTGGCAGCAGATGTGAGTAGGACTGGCACCAGCAGAGGGTGTGAATGGTGCTCCAGCACTGGCAGCGGGTACAAGTGGTGACTCTGGCACCAGCAGCAGGTGCAAGCGCTGGGTAGGACCATGGTGCTTGGGAGCAAAGATTTTTAGTAACCACCAGAGGCTTGTCCTGATATCAGCAACTAGGACCCCACCTTGGTCTGGTGCCCCTGCTCACCTACTCCACTGTTGGCCATGGCCGATGCCCGCCATGCTTCTGGCTCTGCTGCCTACGCCCATCATGTTCCAGCACGCCCCCTGGTGGTCAGCACATGTCAAAGTGACCAGCTTTTCAGTTGTTCTGCCTTTCAATCTATTTGCATATTAACCTTTTATTACATAGGACTAGAGGCTTGGTGCACAAAATTCGTGCATGACGGGGAGATCCCCTCAGCCAAGCCTGCATCCTCTCTAATCTGGGACCCCTCAGGGGATGTTTTACTGCTGGTTTAGGCCTGATCCCAGATTGGGCCTAAACTGGCAGTCGAACATCCCTCTCACAATCCAAGACCTCTGGCTCCTAACTGCTCACCTGCCTGCCTGCCTCATTGCCCCTAACTGCCCCCCTTTGCAGGCCTGGTCACCCCCAACTTTCCCCCTCTGTCAACCTGGTTGCACCTTACTGCCTCCCCCCGCCTGCCAGTCTGGTCATCCCCCAACTGCCCCTGCTGTCCTGGTTGCCCCCAACTGCCTTCTCTGCCGGCCTGGTCACCCTATGCAGCCTGCTGTTAAGTCATTTGGTTATCCTTCATTAACCCCCCTGCCAGCCTGGTCGCCCCACACAGCCTGCTGTTTGGTCATCTGTATGGTTGTTTAGGTTGTGATGGCCCCTGGCTTTTTATATATTAGGATTGTTACATTCCTTTAGGAGTTAGTAATATTTTTCAGAATGTCATATATATATGACATCCTAAGAAAATAGATATGAAAGGATATCTATGCAAGGACACTGATAATACTGTTTATAATTTAAAAAAAAAAAAAGAAACAAGTGTCATCAATAGGGATTTTTTTTCAGATAAATTACAAGTTTTTAGGTAAATTCAGAGAATGGACTATTAAAATTAAAGAGTCATGGGGAAAACAGCAATAATAGCATCTGTTTATTAGGCATGAGCTTCAGTCTATTGTGCTTGCACTGCCTCACTGCTTTTTCCAATTTCATAAGGTAGAATTACAATAACTCTATAGTTGAAGAAACTGCATCTTAGGGAGGTTCAGGTATTTGTCCAGATAGTAAAAGTGGTGTTTGAATTCCGGTTGTGTGAGTGAGTCCAGGGTGTGAGCGCCTCACCACTATACTGTGCTGCCTCTTTCATTACAATGAAACTGGGAATTATCTCTTGAGTACAGGATAGGTGATGTTTATTTTCATTGATTGTCTTTCATCTATTTTACCTTTCTCTATTGTCTGACTCTTTAATAAGCACTATATATATATATATATATATATATATATATATATATATATATATAATATATATATTATCTAAAGTGTCCCCTGAGGAGTTTGATCACTTGCTATGATGTGCGCTGACCACCAGGGGACAGTACTGAACAAAGGAAAGCCCTGGCTGGCAGCTGGAAGCCCAGGAAGGAAGGCCCCAGCCAGCAGCCAGGCCTGGAGACCCTACCCATGCATGAGCTTCATGCACCTGGCCAGTAGAACTTTAATAACCGGATGTGAGTGCAGAGCTCTTTTAAGGAAGGGTGGAGCGTCAGTGAATGCCCTGATGCCCTAGGATAAAGTCTAACTCCTTAGCTTAGACCATTGACCTGTGGTGTGACTCCTGCTTTTCTCCTCTCATATCCTTACCGCTCTGCGGCGTGCAATCTTGGCTCTGGCCAAACCAAACTGTATGTTTAGACAAATGTTTCCTCCTGACTGGAGGATTTTATTTTTATCTCAGTGAAGTTGTCACTCAAACACTCTTAACCCTCAAGGTGACCTTATAAACCCATATTCGCCTCTTGGCTCTTAAACCTTTACTAGTATTCCGGTGCATGGATTCGTGCACATTGAAAGGAAATTAGAAGAAATATTTTAATATCGCTATTCACCCTTTTTCTATAATAGAAGTGTCAACCAAATTCACAACAACAATGACAGAAACACATGCGTGTGATTGGCACCATGAGAACTTTATGTTTTGCACATACTCAAGTCAACTTAGCCTTTTGTAGATATATCAATAGAATAAACTTGCTTAATTAGACTAGCTTTCTGATGTACCTGAACTTTTCCAGCCCAGTGAAGCACCCAACTTCTCTTTCAGGTAATTGTCAGCAACACAGCAATAAATATCAACAGGAAGCAGATTATTATTGCAGATCACACAGGGAGAACAGGGGTAAAATATTTAACTGCAGCAGTGTTTGACTATATTCTGCAAAGTGAAAAAACCTGAAGCCATTTTCAAGGTCCACCATTTCTTACTTCTTTTCAGTTGGGTCAAGTTTCTAAGCTTTCTAAATCTCCATTTCCTGGCCAATGAAAAGAAAATAGGATTCCATCGAGTTTCCTATCTACCTACTCCAGGACTTCTTTGAGGATCAAATGAGATGAGGCATGGGAAACGCTTCACAGACATTTGGTTAAAGTGTAAAATGTTTACACCTGGCTATAAAGCAAGTCATGTTTCTGGACTGAAGAAACTGGAAGGAGGCTAGTGCTAGGGAGAGGAAGCTGGGTGTTGCTAGATTGATCGCCTCCAACTGCCCTGCCTTGCAGACCTGATCCCTCTCAATTGCTCTCCCTTGCAGGCCTGATCCCTCC